GCTAAAACCATCATCATCATCATCACAAGCATCACTGCATTATAGTGCTGGATCAATGGTCTCTGCAGGATCATCTCGTTGATTAAACCGAGTGCAATAAGGCGGATTGCAAGACTATTTCGGGAGCTTGGATGTTGGAGTGTTTAGATAAAGGTTGGCGATCCTGATCGAGGCTATGTACTTTGTATCTGAGGAATGGCCCAGAGAAAAGGTTTTATATGTAGTTGGTTTTGAAAGTGTCCCCCTTCGCGAGGTTTTAAGTAGTACAGGGTCTGGCTGACCAACGATGGCGGTGACCGCCAGACACATCCATACCTCCGGCGGAGAAGTATTGATGCCGGTATTGTGGCGTGTTGGTTGTCATCTTGCCCGCCTCTTCGTCCGGCTGATTTCTCGCCGCCATCCAACACCTTGAAAAGCGCCCTGCGGAAACGGGTGAGTTGATGGAGGTGTGTGCCCGGTGGCCAAGGGCGTCTCCAACCAGACGCCTCGGACAAGTCGTTGTGAATCACGCTTCAAAATGTAAATATGTACGAAGACATCATAGGATACATAAAACACACGTCGGTGTCGCCTTGGTTTGTAGCTGACATAGTCTGGACGCGACCCCGTAGATCTCCAAGCTCCGCCGTATACAAAGCGCGTTGAAGCTCCTTCATCGCACCGCTTCCAAGTTCCTCGGTTGTGATTATGTAGAAGTGGTCTTCTCTATTCAGCCTGATGCTGTCCCTCAAATGAAGTAGGAGTGTGAGCACCGTCAGGTCGATGGTGACGGTTCCGTGCGTTGGTTGACTACATAGATATCTGGAGTTGCCAGTAACGACCGAAGGAGCGAGGCCGACGAGTGGTCAGGCGTACGGGGTTGCCGGGGGTCCGGGTAGCCGAGGGCGGCTTGGTTCCCGAGCCGTTATTCATGCTCACGTCCGGGGACGCATCCTTTTGCGGTTAGCGCGTCACCAGGGCTGGGGATCGAGGCCGAGAGGAGCTGAACGGATTCCAAGCGGTTGCCAGTCGCCAGGAGACATGGGGTGGGGGTGGGGGGAACAGGATGTTCTGTCGAGATTGAAGGTGTGATCATGTGTGGAGTGGGGGTATAGGGGTGTATGTAGCTTTTTTTTCGGAGTGGTTGCGGACAGAACTGTCTGAACATCACGGGGTTGATCAAAAGCTCCAACGTCAAAACGAAGGTATACTACTCAGAAGGAAGAGATCACATCCATCCCGCTCCCGTCGTCCTGGAGGGCGAGGTGGTTCTTGGTTGTGTCGTGATGGTTCCCAAGCCCGTCGGACGGGCAAGGGTTAGGACGAATCTCTGAGTCGGTGTTGCAATGCAGATGGTGAAAAGGATACATATATAAGGGTCCTATTCGATGGATTCCTCTGTGCTTGGCAAACTGCAATCCCTTCGGACTCACCATTTTCGCATCTTCTTTGCTCCCCTTTCCCTTACCCTTTCTTGGTGAATAGTAGCCAATCAATTGTGTATCAAACTTGTCCCACTTTTAAGCGCCCTTTTTTTAGCATCAATATGGCTGGCAAACAGACTCCGGCCTTCTGGCAAGGCCTTGTCACGCTTTTCTCATTCTTGTCCTTGATCTTCTCCGGAGCCTTTGCCGACGAAACTGCTCCCGGACACAAGCCCGGAACCGCTGACTCTTCGAAGTCCGCCATCCCGCGTTTAGTTGGGTACGTGCTGGGTCTCTCTTCATCTGGCTTATAATCACCTATTCCAGTTGTGCAAACCTGCTTATGGTGTTCCGTCGGTTGCCATGTGGCCTGGTTCTGATAATGTGCCCTTTCAGAGTGAGTCTTGTTGTTATCCATCCTCGCAAGTCCAAAGTTGAGCGTGTTTAGACCATTTCTGATTAATTCGGTTATAACGACAAATTAAGATCAACTTGCCAGGATTCGAATTTGGTGCCCAACCGGATGGACAATACTTGTCCAGCACTAATCCTCCCATGCCGCCTCCGGAGAGCCAAATCGCCCATTTCCTCAGCCAGAATGTCAATTTCTTCCGGGTGCCCGTTGCCTGGGAGTTCCTCCAGCCTGAAATGAATGGCAAGCTTAACGACGTCAACCTGAAAGCGTACAAGACTTTCATCGAAAAAATCACAACCCATGGAGCATATGTTGCCATCGACCTTCACGCCGTAAGTGTCTTGCAGTTCAGTGATTTTCGGGTTGCCTAATCCTCGGCTGATGCGCCTTCACCGATCCCCTTTGTATGTAACAGTTCGCCCGTTACAAAGGCCAGATCGTCGGCGAATCCCCCACCACTCCAGCCAGCGCGCTTGTCAGTCTGTGGACTCAATTAGGCGCCGTCTTCAAGGATAACCCTCTGGTTATGTTCGGAATCAGCAACGAACCTCATGATCTTGGTAAGCCTTAATGACTATCCGCATCAAACACTCTTTCTACTTTTTTTCATTTATCTACATAGAAGCAAGCATTAATCGCGGTGCCTTTTTTGTCCCACCTCCACAGTCATCACCACATGGGCCACAACTGTCCAGAAGGTCGTCACCGCATTGAGGGAAAAGAAGATCCAAAACATCCTGCTTATCCCTGGGACAGATTACACTGCTCTGAAGACATTCCCGGACTGGTACGAGGCCATGAAGGTTGTCAAGAACCCCGACGGCTCCTTTGACGGACTAGTTATGGAAGTCCACCGAGTGAGTCTATCTACTACCGAAACACCAAAATTGCAGCCCTGTCAGCCTAACGGAATATTGGACATTAAACCCTTGTTCTTCTTTCCCCTAGTACCTCGACACTGATAACTCGGGTACAAGTCCAGACTGCACCGCAAGCCATGCAGACGAAGTTGCCAAGGCTGTCCAACTCCTCAAGGCTGATGGGAGACAAGTGATCTTAGGAGAGACTGGGGGTGGGAGCACCGACAGCTGCATGAAGTTCCTTCCAGAATTGGCTGCAGCAGTCACTGATGTGGGTTCCTCAATCAAAACACTTTCAACACAAGTACATAGGAGCTTTTTTTTTTTTTTTTGGCTCATATTCTTCCTCACCCTTCATCCAGGCCTACCCTGTCGTTTTGGGCTTCGCCTTGTGGGCCGCTGGCTCTTTCGATGCCGTAAGTGACAACGATCCTAATTACCCGATCATTTTCATTCACAAATGATGACTGACCTCGCACCACCACATCAACAAAAAAAAAACAGAACTACATGCTAGTTACCACCGTTAAGGACGAAAGCTCGGTCAGTTTTTACTTTTATTTTTATATTCTACTCATTTGTTGTTACATATTGCAAGCCAAATCAATTAACACTTCGACGGAATGTTTTCTTCCTTGACCCCGATTTCCAGCCTACGGGATGGAAAGACCAAGGCAATTGGAATTCGATCAAGAAGTTTATTCCTGCCAAGGGCTCTGAGAAAACGTCACCCAAACCAAAGCCGAAGAGTAAGTGCCCTTCCCATGCTGGCTCCCGGCCTGCAAGGTAATAAATCAATTTCAATTCACCCAGTTGACGTATGTATCTATCATCACTCTTTTCTTCCCCCCCCCCCCCCTAAAAAGCCCCACAACAAACGAGCTGTTAAGCGTCGAGCTATGATCTAAAAGTCTACATCATTAGAGAGAGCGCTCTCAATTCTGCTCGATCGTCCTGTACAAACCCTCCATCTTTCTGTTTTCATCATCATTGTTGATTGTTTTTCTAGTCTTTTTGTTTTCTGAATCAACACCCACCCAACACTTGTTTTCCCCTCACTGTTGTCCATCTCTAGCGATACGGATCCCGCCCAGATCCTCCAGAATCCCCCTTTTCTTGATGTTAGACGTCACTACTGTATGTACTTGTACCAAATTGAAAAAAAAAAAAAACTTGAGCCATTGATGTCTGTAAGGTTAATCAACCCGACCAGACAACGTCACTTGCTGGACTGTTCATCTGCCCAAGTGTACTGACACAAATTATGGAGATGTTGCACAGTACAAACATGTCCTAAGCTCTTTATCCAATGGCAGACGGGGTGAGATTGAGCTATTGTCGACACAAAAGAAGAGTTCCTTTGTTAAGGATTCAATAAAACGGGTTTTATTATTGAGAAGATCTTATTCTATATGTATCTTTTTTTGTTGAAAACCAAGTCAATATTACAGAGAAAGAGAGAGATGAGCGAGTTATGCCCCATACAAGTCTTTCAATAGACGATAAACCAATGAAGAAGGATGACCGCCTCTGAAAAAACAACATTCAAGAAGGACGTTAGAAAGAGAAGAACTTTTGAATGGAGAAGAGGAGAAGTGCAGAGAACGTAGACTCAACAAGTTGGTGATAAACAGACTGATCAGATGAGCAGGAACATGATCGTAATAAGGATTGATGACTTCGATCTGACCGGGAGTAGGAGGCGGATGGATAGAAGCTCGGTTGGATTTCGAGGCAGCTGGAGGGGGGTCGGGGAGGATCTGATCGATAGCCAAGACTTGGTCGGGGGTCTTGATATCGAGGGTAGTCCATTGATCGCCGGCGCTGAGATAGACGGGGGCGAATTTGAAGATCCCAGAGATGACGACGACGGGGACGTTATGGACCTTAGCGGCCAGGGCGAGGCCCAAGGAACCCGACTTGGCCAGGATCGAGCCGTCGGCAAAGACGATGTGACAGCCGATAATCAGCTTCGTACAGCGCGAGATCAGCCCAAACGTCGACCCATCACTCGTCACTATGTTCGGGATCTTCGGACTCGAACTCGTCAGCTTCCCCGATAACTCTCGCCCTCGAAACTCCGGCCCCGTCTCCGAGATTATCACCGTGAACTTTCGCTTGTTCTTTGCTGCCGCTTGTAGGAAACTCGTCACTGTTCTTGAATTATCTAAAGTCATAATCACTTCTCTTTTTTTTATAAAGAGAGATCAAGTTAGCCACCCCCCCCCCCCTTTCTTTTTATGTTTGATATCAGAAGAAGCAAAGGAGAGGATACCCAGAATGAATATGTTCAGAAGCCTGAGCGGCGACGGCCTCCAAGACGAGATCCAACTCATCATAGAGTTCCTGAACGGCCTCGATGAAGATCGGTTTCAAGCTCAACGAGTTAGCGTTGAAGGCGCGTTCCTCGTTGATCAGGTCGGCCGGGATCTTCTCGTCTTCCTCCAACAGCTCGTTGGTCATCGGCTTCTGTCCCAGCAGTCGCGAGACGCTCTCTTCGACTATCCCCGGGCTCCGGGAGGTGCTGCAATGCGAGGACGAGGTCGTGGTTCGGTGATGCGTGTCGCTGCCCACCTTGCTCGTCTTCAGTCGCTCCGAATTCCCTTCGATGTGGCTTGCTAATGCACTCGCATATCTAATCATCACATGATTGTCGTTTTAATCGTTCATAGTCTCCATCCCATGTTTAATAATCATCAAGTTTACTGACTCTTCTTTCAAGAGAATGATCACCCGTTTCACCATATTTCCGATCACGAATTCTGTTCATATAAATAAAAGACACAGTCAGAGACCAAGAATGTTCCCCTAGTAGTCTGTATGTAACTGAAAAGGAGAGAGAGAGAAAGAGAGACTGAACCTCTGGGAGCGATTTCGGATAAGAAATCGCCCACCTCGACCAAATGGCCGCACAGTTGGTCGAACGAAGAGAACTTGGCACTGGCGATGACTTCTCGCAAGAGCTTGATTGTCTCCGAGCCGGTCGCATGTGAGCCCACGATCTGTCTATTGTATATCCTCATCGTTAGTTCTCTTTTGGGGGTGTTGAAAATTTCGATCAAGTGTACCTGTTTTGGAGCTTGTATCCAAACGATTCGATCCGTTTTATGATTTGCGCCTTCGAGATCTCGTGTGTGAATCGTTTGATGGCCATCTTGCGCTTGTTCTTTGATCGAAGTTGGTTGTTTTTTGTTTGTGTGGCCGGTGTCAACTTGGAAGCCCCCGGACTCTTTGTACTTCATATTATGTAATCACGGCGCGCGCGGCCGGCCTTACATAAAATTCGGCGGCGGACCCGCCCGGGACCCGTTGGCTCCCGCCGGTGATCCGCACACACATTTCAAGCAAGAAACGGTTGCCAATGCAACAAACAGACAAACGATCTCTGCCATCGAGCATAAATAACCAAGGAGAGGATGCGAAGAATATGTACACCATAACATCCAGGGAGTTTAAAGTACATACTTGTGGGCGAATGAGACATCCTTTCAGTGGCTGCTGGCAACCTTTCTTCAACGATCCATCTCAGAACAAACAACAACACTTTTTTTTTGAATTACTTCTCGAATCGATTTAATCCAAGATTGCATAGTAGAAGACTCTCTGATCGATGGATTTCGCTGAGCTCAAACACACCCTCCGATCGATCAGTAAGTGTCATTGCCGTTCCGACGGCCAAGAACGGCACCCGACCCCTAACGAGAACCCTGTTTTTTTTTTTTTTTGTAACAGACATCGATGTATTATATTCGGTGACCGAGCGGACGTTTCTCTCTCCGTTTTTTGCATGTTGGATTCCGCTGCTAGCGTTAGGCCAGAGTGCGCCGGGCTTCTATTATTGGTCGCTGCGATTCCTGTGGTTTGTGCTGTTCCGGACCGCGCTCTGTTGGAGCTCGCAGATGTGGAGGAACCGGCGCTGGAGACGAGGCCAGATCGATTGGAACGACCAGGTCGTCCTCGTCACCGGCGGCAGCGAGGGCCTCGGAAGAGTGCTCGTCGAGACCCTCTTGCTCAAACATATCTCCGTCATCGTCCTCGATATCAAGCCCTTCTCCGGTCCGTCCCTTTCTCCATTCTATATTCATCTCCTTCCGGCCCTAAGGATCTGATTATACCTTCTGGACCGTAAAATAGATCGCGACGAGGAAGAAGAAGGCGACCTCAAGTTCTATCAATGCGACGTCTCCGACCCTCAAGCGATCGAAAAAGCGGCCATCCAGATCCGCAAAGAGGTCGGCTCACCCACGATCATCGTCAATAACGCGGGAATCGTGCACGGGAAGTCGCTCCTCGAACTCGAGCCTGACGAGCTGCAAAAGTGTGTCTCTTTCGAGATTGAACCGTCTCTTTCTCCGCTCTATCAAAGCTGACCGACCATCATTCTTTTTGTTGATGTGTACATAGGACCTTTGCCGTCAACGTCTTTGCACACTTCTATCTCTACAAGGCGTTCCTACCAGACATGATCAAACGGAACTCAGGCCACATCGTTCGTCCAAAAGTCTCCTGGCTTTCGCCGCCGTCAATGCACTTCTGAAGACTGATTGATTTCTGATTGCGATTGGGGGTTGTTGTTTTTTGGACAGGTGACAATGGCCTCGATCCTGGGCCACGTGGGAGTGTCCCGAGTGGCCGACTATTGCGCCTCCAAAGCCGCCGCGATCCTCTTACATCAATCCTTGAGAGAAGAACTACACTCAGTGTCCGTCTCTCTTTGGGTCTTTACCATCTTCCCGGTTTATGTACTCATACATTCGTCTTCTTACAGACACCATGCTCATGGGATTCATACCACTCTTGTTTGTCCGGGCTTGATGAACACCAAAATGTTCGAAAATGGTGCGCAGAATTTTATTGTATCTTATCCTTCCCCCCCCCCCCAAAAAAAAAAGTTGATCATGATAAAAAACCTGACTTTGTTCCTTTGCCATATGATTTTTGAAAAACCAAAGTGAAGACATGGAACGAATTCATGTTTCCAAGGCTTTCACCGCATGAACTAATGAAGAAGATCATCCAGACGATCGACAATGAAGATTCGACGGAGATTTACATGCCATTGTACACCAAATTCAACTTCATCTTCGATCTTTCGGAGTTCTTCTTGGTCCCTTCGTGGTTCCTGAGCTTCCTGCATTGGTTTGTTGGCTCCAATCGTGCATATAATCCGCATCTTTCTGATCCTGCTACCGTTGATCCATCAGTCACACATCAAAAAACTCGGTAGAGTGGGTTTTCTGCTGTGTTTCAAGGATTGGGTTCAGACTTTGAATGACCCTTTATAAATTCATACATTGTTGTTTTTTCTTTTCTCTTTCTCAAGAATACACATACACAAAACGAAACAAAACAAAAACACTTGCAATAAACCTCTGAGCAAGAAAAAAAACAATACATACCCTATACCTAAACAACATCATGCCTGGAAGCCGCAGGGCTTTGGGGTTTTTTGTGAGGCTTGTCCCGGGTCCTGAACTGGGGTAAAACCCTGAACCCTGGTCTTTGGAGATAATGCCTTAACTGGGGCCCTGGCAAGCCCTAGGATAAAGGGGTGTTGAAAAAACTCCATATTCCAGCAAGATTCAAGGTCCACTAGGGGACCCCACAGGGAGTCAATTGTTTTTTGGGGGCAAACTTGTTCCTTTTCAAGAGTATGCTCAGGCTGGAATCCCCTGAGCAAAGAAGGGGGGGGGGGCTCTGATGTGGGGCCACATACCATGGTTTTATTGGTTTGAGCTAGGTTTGCCTAGCTCTCTGAAATGGGCTCTTTCATGAGTATCATTTGTACACCCATTCCAAGAGTATCAGTTTCCCATTTATCCCATTTTCACATGCTTTTTTCATCCCCCCCCCCCCCTATTATGTAGGGGAGAATTAAAGATACAATCCGGACCCAGGATACTTGGTAATACCCAACCGGATGCTGGGTCGGATTGAGTGTCAGATGTAGTGTGTGGCATACCTGGTATATGGATGGGCACAGCAAGCTTGGAGTCCCAACTCTCAGGCCAGACAAGCATCTTCCAAGACCTTGCATGGCTTATGTGGTCTATGTACCTGTATGTGAAAAGACATGGAAAGAAAAACTGAATTTGGGTATTTGTTTGGCCCTCCATGATCCTCATAAACAGTCATCACAAATCATCAAATCAGAATCTAGGTTTCTTTTTTCAGGCTGTGAAAATGATGCAGCCTGAAAATCTGTATCAATAACAATCTAGATTTTTGGTGCATCTTGGGAGTGGATGATTGGAATGGTATTTTAGGAGGACAGGGAGGTGGGGTGCTGGTCAGGGGAGGTTGGGTGCAGATGGGGGGGGGGGAGGTTATGTGGTGCTGTTGTAAGGGAATGTGAGGGAAAGTGGAGGGTGATCATCAGCTGTGCACCCCCAAAATATTTTCCATGATCATTTATGACAATTGTGCACAGCTAAAAAAAAATCATGGGCAGCCAAACAAAGCCTTAACACTTGTATTCTGACTTGACTGGCACATGTAAATATGTGAGAAAACATGGAAACAAAAACAGACATTGACAAGCAAACTGGTAATGGGGAACTTCCTGTTGAAATCTGCGGGTCCCCCAGCACCAATCTGGAGCCTCAAAAAAACAAATTTCCCTGAAAGAATCTAGATTCTAGAGTTTTTGGGTGTAGATCAACAGCTTCCAGGGTCCCAGATTTGATGGGGAGTCCACCAGTCTTGTAATCAACTGTTCAGATAAGATTTTTAGTAGGATTGATATTGAGAGAAAAGATGAAAAGAGTTACTGAATTCAACAAGTAAAAAATAATTGTTAGATGGTCAGAGAACCTCCACTGAATGACTTCCCATCAACATCTGCAGGTCTCCCAGTTTTGATTTAGAGCCGCAAAAGCTAGATTTCCCTGCAAAAATCTAGACTTTTTGGGTCTAAATTGCAAACTGCGAGGGTCCCAGATCCAACGGAAAGTCCTTCACTGTGGGCCATAAATTGGGTCCGTAGGTGACATTGACAGACTCAATATAACCCACCACGGTTGCTAAAATTTATGGCAGTCTGTAAATTCTGCTCTGGAGTCCTCAGATGTAGGTATTCCTATGGTCTTGCCTATTGTCCCCATACTACACTTTCACACAGCACCCACCTGTGAAACTTGGTGAAACTTGCGATGAAATTTTGGGATGAGGAGGTGAGAACTGAGGACAGAGGACCGGTGAACAAATCTTGAGGCAAAAGACTCCAGAGATAAATTGGTGGTTGAAGAGCCCAAAAGGGGGCTACAAGCTGCTAGTGTGCGTGGCAGAAAAGCACTCACACTACAAGTGGTTGTATCTTTTGTTGAATTTTCCTCATTCTGTCTCTCTCTGCCCTTCATCTCTTTCTAGTCATCAGTAAGTCAGACCAGACTATATTCTTCAAGTAGCATGTTTTTGGTTGTTTTAAGCCCCTTTTTGAGTCAAATTTGAACCATAAGTAATCAGCTTACTCTAAACTACTCATGTCTCCGCGATGAATTCTTTTTTTTTCTGATTTACTGTTTGATTTATTAAAACCTGATTAATTAGAATTAACGACTCTAGTTATTTGTGAATTATAGCATGTTTTTCTTGATTAACTCATCTGGCTTGACTAAAAGAGACTGAGAATCCCTGTCCAGTTTGTTACTTCCAAGACTCATGTTTCTTTCTCTCAGTGTTTTATTCAATATGTTTTTTCTATTCATTTCATTTCTTATAACCACATTTTGACACACTTGTATTTAGTCTATTTAAACCTAGCTAGATACTTGTGAATAAAAATCATCGGCTCTTACACTCTTTTTCCATGAGCCCTTCCCAAAAATGAGACTTTTCTTTTTTGGCCCTCAACCTCTTACGTGCTTTAGCGTTAAAATTTCAACATCTTTTAGAGACCACAGGGAAAAGTTTGCAGAAGACTGATGATTTCATTTTCTAACTCAGAAAGCATGGTTATTTATCTACATACAAATTATGGCTGAGTTTTGGGACAGAAGGTGAAGAAGCATATTCATCTGGAAATGAGAGAGAAAAGAATGACAGATGAGGAAGGAGTGACATGTGTGTGACAGAAAAGAAAAGAGGAAAGGAACAATGATGGCTAAATTCCAACAACTTGACACCCACCCACCACTCACCAGCACAGGGAAACACCTGTCATAGATTTTTACCAACCAACTTACCACCTTGTGGTGTATGCTGCAGTAGTTTAAGGCCATAAAGCTGGCTGTTTAGTTGCAAGCATCACAATTTAAGAGCATCTCCATGGGAGTCGCTAATTTTGGGTTGCAATTTTCTCATATTAGCCACTGGAATTCAAGGTTTGAATACCCTAAGTGCCGATGCACACACTGGGCATTGTTAAGATGGAGTTGCTATCTGGTGATTGGCCGTGAGGTGGTGAATGTGATGTGTGGTGTTTGGGTTTCACTCTTCAAACTTGGAGACTGGATAGAGATCAAGGAAGAAAAATGTAAAAAAAGTGACCGGTCATCTTTTTCAAGTTTGGGTTGCAACTCGCTTAAATGTGGGATAGCAACCCCTGTGGAGATGCAACAATAGCTCAAAGATAGGGGCTATGGTGGAGTTGCCCTTATGGTGTTGCAAGCGCGTCTGGGCACAAACCCAAGTCCCGCTTGGCCGATAGCCACCGGGGGTTTGATTTGTGCCCAGAGGGCTTGATCATGCACGTTGTGTGGGGGGGGGGGACTTGGCACTCAGCCAAGTTGCGCTGGGCCAATTGGTGGCTCAGGCGCTCCCCTCCCTCTCAAAGAACCGTACAAACCTAGTCGCCAAGGACGGGAGATACTGTAAAACCCCTCCCCGGTTGGGTTTCACAAGGGTATCACAGACAAGAATCTTTGTAATTATGGTGTTGCAAGCGGGTCTGGGCACAGGCCCCAGTCCCGCGTGTCCTCGCACCACCGGGGCCTGGGCCAGCGCCCAGGGGGCTTGATTTGGCAGGTCGCGCGGGGGTCGGACCTTGGCACTGGCCCAAGACTGGCTTGGCTGAACCCAAGCTCTGGGCTCACCAGATCACCGATATCGACTACCACCACCACCAAGCCCGCGACCCACCTGGCTGACAGGTGAGTTCAGGTTTGGCGCGGGTGGCACCCTTGCTTGGGCTCGGCCAAGCGTGGCTTGGGTCTGACCCCCTCCAAATTGGGGAGGTGCCAAGCGAGGGTTGAATCTGAGCCAAGTTGGGTTTAAAGGGCGCCACGCGCGCTTGGGAATCGGCCAAGCCCGCTTGGCCCCTTTTTTGCCCAACTTGGGCCTGTGCCCAGACCCGCTTGCAACACCATATATTCCTATCTGCTTGAGATCCGTACCTGGCTCCACAGAGAACTGATCCCATCTCTCTGAGCCAGGTAAGCCTTCTCATCCTTATTTTTCATTCATCACTTCTTCTTCCAGATCTAGGTCTTGTATATAGAACAGAGAGAACTGATCCCATCTCTCTGAGCCAGGAAATACATCCCCCCTTGTTTGGTCTTAGAACCTTGCTTAGGCTTTTCAGCCGTTCCCAGTGCCTTTTCCCCTTTCCCAGTGAAGGACTTTCTCAGTCCTTACAGATACCCATCTTGACGCTTGGTATAATCAACCAATGATGATACAGCAACGGTCATTGGTCATAGAGGAGTGATTGACTAGTAGTGAGCCGGTCATCATGAGGGGATTCCTTCTCGATGGCCGGCATTTTGGCAGGTGTGGCACCCTTGCTTGATTTCAGTCAAGCGAGGCTTTGCTCTGACCCCCACCAGCTTTGACATGTGCCAAGCGGGGGTTGGGAGGGTGCCACGAGAGCTTTACAGTTGGCCAAGCGTGCTTTAAGATCGGCCCAGCGCGCTTGGCCTGTTTTCGGCCGAAGTTTGGTGTGTGCCCAGACGGGCTTGCAGCACCATATATCATTGACATCAACAATGTCCTGAAAAAAAAAAATGCAACATCCTGTTTGGGCCGGATATACCGAGTACGGATGCCGGATGAGCTCTACCCGGACCCGGGTTACCGGATCGTGTCCTCAGTTAGAATGATGCATCGGACCGATTGTCGACGACGCGGCGAGGACCGATGACGTATGCAAATATGTCACAGACAAGCCAGGTTGATAAAATAGGTGCTTACGTAAGCTTCGGCGAGCTTGACCAATCGAAAGAGAAGAACGACAAACCAAAATAATAGATATCAGGACGACAAAGACCGATCGAAGGAAACTTGAAAAAGAAAGAAAGGAGATCATCTAGCGTCATGTTCAGGAACAACGTCAGTACTGTCATGGATTTGTAGTCAAATTCTTCAACTGGATATCATCGACCAAGAAACTGTCTGACATGACTTCATATCTTTAGTACGATTCAGAGTTCAGTCGTCCTTGATTAATGTTTCCCGATATCAGATAAACAAAAAAAAAGAAGAATCCATACAGGCAACTAACGATTTCTTTGAACAAAACAAAAAAAAACCTGGCTTGTCGGTTCAATCGGCAACAGTAATACGGTATTTTCTCCTCAGGGTCGATTGCATCAAGTAGAATATGCGCTCGAGGCTGTCAAGCAAGGTTCGGCTTCGGTCGGACTGAGGAACAACACTCACGTCTTACTTCTTGCTCTCAAAGTACATTCATTCAGTTATCCATTATTTTCGCACTTGTAGGTGGGATTGATATTAATCCGTGTTTTTTTTGCATGTTTCTCAATGTAGAGATCGACCGGTGAATTGGCTTCGTATCAGAAGAAGTTGATCCGAATCGACGATCATATCGGGATCGCCATTGCCGGATTGACCAGCGATGCTAGAGTATTATCGTCAGTCCTCCAAACCCCCTTTTTTATCTCCCCCTTCGATCAATCAAACATCTCAAAAACAAAAGGCCAGGCTTCCATTTCTCGGAAGCAACAACACTGATCATTGGAAAAAAAAACATGATACAGTAACTTTATGAGACAACAATCGATGACGTCTAGGTTATTACACAACCGACCCTTGCCACTATCTCGATCGGTGATGGCAATTGCTGATAGTAAGTCATCTGGGTTTTGAGATTCGATCACCTCCCTTTTTTTGGTTGTTTGAAACCGGACGATTGAATACTTTGGGGCGATTGGGTCGGATTAAAACAGAGGCTCAAGTTAATACGCAGGAGTATGGACGCAGACCTTACGGCGTTGGATTTTTGATTGGAGGACATGATGTAAATCAGCTGCCCACTGCCCCTCGTTTCTTGTTGTAAATATGACGGAGATCTTATGTGCTTCTTGCTTCAGGAAACGGGTCCTCATCTTTACGAATTCAGCCCCTCTGGAAACTGTCTAGAGTATTTTGCGATGTCGATTGGAGCTCGATCACAATCAGCAAAGACTTATTTAGAAAAACATTTTGAGAAGTTTTTGGATTGTAAGTGATTTCTGATTCTCACACAACATTGAAAAAAAAAAAAAAAGGGTATGAGCTGACGGAACGTTTTTTTGCATGTTGTGAATTTGGACGGAAAAGGTGGCCTCGATGAGTTGATCAAACACGGCTTACATGCACTCCGAGACACGCTGCAACAAGACAAAGAGTTGACGACCTTGAACACCTCATTAGGCATTGTTGGGCCTGACCACAAGTTTGAAATCATCGAAGGCGATGCTCTGGCTCCCTATTTGGCTCAAATGGACCCGAAGGACGATGGCACTGCTCAGCCTGCTCCCATGGAAACTGATCCTTGAACACGCATCTTCCTCGTATTCAAGCTTAACTCAACAAAAAAACAACGCCAGTTGGAGATCACTTCTTAATGGATTACCCCACTCTTACTACTCCATGTCTTTCTTTTTGATTATTATCATTGGTCTTGTTGTTACTATCTCTCATACACTGATTTCTTCATTTTTTTAATCCTAAACCCCCAAGAAAACTGTCCAAATTCAGAGCCCTGTTTTGATCTCATCTTTCAGGTGGACACATGGCTATTTTTTGGGGGGCAAAAAACAACAAACACGGAGGAGTTAGGTGGAGTGGAAAGAGGACTGGTGATGCCCAGTTGCAGGGATATATACACTGGTGCATTTTAACCATCAATCTTACGTATTTGGTTGATTTACATCAGACCCAATTGGAGCAAGTGTCAGCTACTACTATTATAAGAACCTTGACATGGCCCCATCATCCGGGACTTCTTCTGTTAATGCAAGGATGCAGGTTGGTTCACTGATCTAGTTCTGTAGCTACTCTTCAATAAAGGGTTCTCCATGAACCCAGCCCAAATTTCTCTGTAGACCAGAGGCTGAGCTTAGCCCGTTCAGATTTCATCCCAAATTGTATGACTGCAGGCTAGTACCACAGACGTTTATGTTGGGTTTTTTTAGACCTGCTGATATCTCTATTTGGGCAATCACTTTTTTACATCCATGATCGTGTTTCGTGTGCTTGGTAAGTGAGGACATCTTGTATGAAAAAAAGCATCAATAAGAGAATTCAATGAGGAAAAAGAGCAGATTTTGCTTGTGTTGTTGGATTTCAAACTCCGTAGATAGAGATTCAACCCCTAAAAGGGCTAGAACCCAGAAGACAGACAATACAGAAGTGATTGGTAAGCAACAGTCACGAGAACAGTAATAAACCATCTAGGAGAGTTAAAAATTAACTACGATGCAATCTTCAGACTGCAGACAACACACCAACGTGACAAAACAAACAGCAGAACCTGCTGACTTCACCAGCCTAATCAGGAGGTGAGTTCGCAGCAGACCAAGCACAAACTCAGACGATGTACAAGCAAGCTAACAGGTTGACTTCCGTCTACCTTAAAACAGCAGCCTGCTTGATCGCCTATCGTCCCCCATCGCAGTAGCCGAGTCCAATAAGAACTTACCAAGCGAACCAATCGGTGAGCACCAGACCTAGAATAATTCTACAAGAACAGTTACTAACATAAGAATTATCCGTTAGACAAAGCAACAGCCACCGATAACAAGAACAATCAAAACACAAGACCAAACTTTGAAGCAAACAAAGGTGAGAAAAAGTCTTGCGAAATAAAGAACATGAGAAGAAGCCGAAGCTAACATTAGAATGCGCATCTGATCAGAAGATAGCAGCTCTGTTCAACAACAGTTGTAACCAACAAGGAAAAGAAGTTCGATCTAAGATCATAAACGTAAGATCAGCTGTCCTTAGACAGCTAACACGAAGCAGTATAGAAATTAACACAAAGCTCAACTTCCGACTTTAAACAGAACACGTCGTTCTCTCTACTTTTCAATTTTATCTTGTCACCTCTTCATCTCTTCTCTCAACAAGTCTTCTCTAAAACAGTAGCACAAGTCTCGCTTGCTTCTAGGTACATAACCACTTCAAAGCCTGTTATCTACTACTCGTATCTAGACCTTTTCTGATGATAATAAAACTTCTAGTTGCTTGAAATCTTTCATGTGTGATACAGTTAGTACTACTACTACTACATACAATCATTATTCTTTGTTCAATGGGTTTGGGGAGAAGGAGGAGGGGGCTACATGGAGAAATTGAAGAAAGTTTAGTGACAAGTTAATTTCCGTTTTTATCTTTTCTTTTTTTGGTGAGACTATAGGTGTAGATATTCAGAAAGTTTAGACAGAATGAGATTAAGCAAAATGATCGAGGAAGGCTTCTAAAACCTGTAGCCTTGTTATTAGAGAAAAATTGCAGTTTCGCATTGTGTATGCAGTTGAAATGTCCAATGACAAGGAAGCTTGAGAGAAAGTCTTTCCCGAGTGACTGTTTGTATCATTTATTGGAATGCCAGTTGAACCAGTTGGACTTGAGGAAAACAGCTCTAGAGAGTTTTCCCGGCACGCCATCGGAGTTGATTGCACGGACGGAATACCAGGCGCCTTCGAAGGCGCGTTTGCGGGTTGAAGAGCTAGTGGGGAACATTGAAGGGAGGAGTTGGTAGCTCGGTTTGGCGGATGACTGTGCGAGAGGATTGATGTGGAACTTGGATAGTTTTTTGGATCTGCCGGAGGTCGAGAAATCGGCGATGGAGTCGTTCTGGGCTTTGTCGAACAAGTGCATGGCTTTCCAGCACGTCGAGCCCGGGACACACCACTTCCTATCCACCCACCCTCCATGAGACTCATGCGATTTCGGCTTGCCCGGCTGGACCTTCAGAAGCTTCGTAGGTTCGTGGGGATCCAGCGGCACAAACACTTCGCCGGAACCCACGTTATCCTGCACTTGATCCGAAAGAACGTTGAAGGATAAGCCCTGTAGATGTGTCTGGCTCGCAGATCCCGCCGACGGTTATCTTTCAGTTCATACTTTATAGTCCTTGTAACGAGAATAAAATAAATCGTTGGAGCGACCACTTACCCCGAGTATCTCGTACCGATCCGCCCAGCTAGCTCCTCTCCATGAAAGACCTGGATGTGTGCCGTTGGTAACGAAAAAAGGGTGTGGCGTCCCCGGAACCGGTTTAGGTGGTGGCTCAAGTCCCAGGATGGCATAGCTGGGGTTTCGTTAATTTTGATAATAAAAAGATGAAGATTATATCAGTCAAAGAAAGCTGATCACGGGGGGGGGGGGGGGCTGGAGATAAGAAAAAAACACAAGCGGTAGAAATTACCTGGCATTATAGGTTGCGGAGATTACACTGCTTTCTTGAGTGTCGAAGGCCTTTGAGGTTTGAATCTGCCAACCGGGGGCATGGTAGCTAAAGATGTTGTTCCCCTCTTCATGGGTATCAAAGCCGCTCTTGTCGGAATGGCCCCTCAAGGACCAAATCAGTGCGCCGGCACAATCAAACTTTTTGTATACTTCATTATAGGCGGCTGTGTTCGCATCTGGAAAAGTAAAACTAACAAAGATATCACTGGGATGCCTTCTCTTGGAAAGTTGGATCGTGTCATCGCGTTATATATATACATAACAATTCTGAACTTACAAAATCCATGTTCACCAATGATTAGTGTTTTCCCGTGAGCGCGTACTTCTTTGTGCAGACTGTTGAGAGATTTATGGGGATTTGTCCTGGTTGGTATCAAGTTCAATGGCGGATAGCATCACGTCACTTACGCAGCATAGGAATTCAGATCATTCTCGCCATCTTTTGCCGGCCCGATTTTGAAGGAAATTTTGAAACCGAATTGTCAGTTGATGGCAAGAAAGGATATGTCTGAAGAAAGATGCTCTCACAAAGATGATAATCAAACAGGTCTACGTATTTGGATTCCAACACGGCTTTTTCCCAGAAGGAACCATTCTTCCGTGAACTGAGTCGCGGAGAAAGGAGGACGGCCAATGAGTGGAGGAGGCTCTTACTTGAGTAGGATATGATTCAAAATTGAATACTCCTCACTGACTAACTACCATCCATGACAAGTGTCCTGGGGGCCAGGGATTTGATCTGTTTGGCAATCTCAAGCGTCCACTAGATTTGAATTTATATTCAGCAAAATGGCCGGGCCTGTTTCAAAGAGTATGCAAAAAGTAATACTCTTCAATAGAATGGGACAGCGTGACAAACCTTGGCAGGGGGTGCCCTTTGGACTTCAGAAATGCAATGGAGCTCAAAATCAGCAAATTCCATCGGGGTCGGAGAGACCTTAAAGGTATCAAGTCATGAGTCCTGGGACATACAAATGATATGCTTTGAGTCTCCCCAATTGAGCTCATTCCCCGTCTCGAAAGCCAAGATTGTATCGTCGTCGCCGTACCGAATCCCGTTGATGGTGTTGATACGATTTAAGAGGAAGGAGATCAACTTCTTGAAGCTATCGATCATCTTCCGGTCCGTAAAAAAATCCACGGCCCTGTTTGCCGACTTGTATTGAGAGATATTGTATCTATGACGGATCAACTTTAAACAACCAGGAAATCAAACATCAATCCATTGTGAATCGCACAGCGATAGGCTTGTTCTCTCCAAGCGTTACACAACACTGGGATGGATGGCATACATCATTGTAGTTTCCTACGTAGTCTGTATCACTTGTTCCGTAATCCTAGGCAAGTCCCAAGAGTATGTTGAATTAGTATTTGTTAATCAGAATTCAATAAAGAAATTGGAAGGGGATCTCAAGTAAAGTTAAGAAAATCACCTGATTGATGATTGGAAGTACCAGCTTGACTCCGTATTCACGAGCCAGATCAAGCCTTTAGAAATTTCATAAGCGTGAGGATCGGATGAGTTGTGGCAATGAGCTGGGGGCATGCCATATAGAAGAAAGTGGGTTGACAGTACTCACACACTGTCCATCTGTTCCCAAACGGTTTCATTGTATTTCCAATCTTTTTGCCAACAAAGAAAAATAAAGAAAAATAAAGATTAGGAATTGAGGGTGAAGGTACTAAAGTGAACAAACTAAAAAGAACACATGATCTCAAACACGCTACCATTTGAAGATCTGTCCCATCCAATCACATGAGCCTCTGAGGGAGGCATGGTGCCTTCCTTGAATTTTGTGTTGGCGATTTTTAAGGTATAGGTTCGAGTGACTGGCGTCCCAAAGCCGGCAACAGTCTCCAGTAGATCTCGTACTTCGAACTCATTCCCTATGGGAAAACAGTTTCATACACAAATATCAATCCTATTTAGATACCCTTTGAAGATGATTTTGATTTTCTTTTATTTATTGAGATAATTGTGATACCTACTTTGAAAAAGAGTAGGAGTACTTCAAAATTTATTGAAAGATCATTGAATCAGTCTCTGTGAATTTCGTGTACCAGACGAAGTCTTCGCAGGACAGGAGTCAGACGACTGACATGCGCAAAGATCAGACTACTGGAAGCTCTGAGTCGAAAGATCACCGTAGAGGTAGAGATGACCATCTCCAGGCGCAGAGACGAACTGGGAGTCTTCCGAGTCGGCATCCGGCTCTTCTTGGGCGCCCCCTCCATAGTAAGAAGATAGCTCATATGACGGTGAAACATTGGGTTGAGCTCCCTGAGAGCTTTTCACTCTGTACCGTTGGACTTGGATACTCGAAGTCAGAGATATGGCCAGCGTAGACCATATTAAAAAATGTATTTGTAAGCGCATCTCACGAAGTAAAACGTGCTACTACTTGGCTTTGGAGCTGGGGGTGTTTAGCTTGGGGTGGGGAGGGAAGAAGATGATTGAGAGAGATGGCACAACGGCTCGCTCGATCAACGATTATAAAACTCTTCACACAAACCGTTGTGCTATATCTGCGAAGGGGTGCACAATACGAGCAACAGCGACTTGACAATCTTCCAAAAATCTGTCCGTAAGTTAAACGGTAAACTGTCACCTCTACGTTTTTTTTTTTTCGACAGATGCAATTTTGAATCTTTTTGGTGAGTGAACGACAGTCTGAATAGCTGTATAGCCTTGATGATGAGATGGGGCAGGTGAGGGAGAGATAGAATAAAACCTGATGTTTTTGACAGCGGTGACAACTCCAACGAGGCAGCTTTGAATTGACTCGAACAGAGCCATCATGTGGAGGGAAGCGAGGTGAACGATCGCCGAATATGGCCTCCAAGATTTGTGATTTCAATCAAGGTACTGATCACACGCTTATCCGTCGTCGTGGTGGCTAACGGTATAAGCCGAGGACTAGGGGTACGGGCAGCTGGAAATCCAATCGCAAGAGATATGTACTCTCGAGATTGAGTCTTTCAGATCATTGTCGTCTCTCCTGAGATAATAGGCTTTTGAGGACAACACCCTCCAAGGAGAGAACAGTGTTTTATTTTTCTTTATTTTACATAAACATATAATAAAAGTGAGAGGTTTCTTCATGAATCCTCAGATTCCTCTCAGCTTTAGGAGATGTATTGGTCCCAGGAATCATTGCTACATCTGGCAATGTTTTTCCGGTCACGTTTAGGGGTGGAGTGACTGGAAACGGAGTCTTACAAGGACACATGATACTCGACAAACTCAGAAAGGCTCTCTCTAACCGGCGACACTCATTGCGGTTCTTGAACAACCCAACGAGCCAGCAGTCAAGGTTCGTGTGAAGGGAAAGGGCGCATGGAGGAAAGCATGAGACAGGGAACTCAAGCTTCAAGTTCCAATCAGACGACTCTTCGAGTTCCTGCCTGTAGAGCGCTTCATCGAGCCACAGGTTATGATGAGTGGAGCCGTTCGGCCGGCGGATTTATGAGCTCTCCTAGGAACTAGAAAAAATTCCAAGTTTCAAGAGAGGAGAGCAAGCCGGCTCAACGAGGCTGTGAGAAAGAGTGTCTCGATCCCGAAGCAGGCCGTCCGGGCGAGCTCCGGAGGACTAGGGCTGACTGGTACAGGGATCATCGGACAGGAGCAAGAAATCGATACATAGTTATCCTTGGATGCCTTCGTTATTTTTGAGCTCGCCAACTTGTCTGTCTGGTGGATTGCTGATTGTGGCGGATGGTATCGCCTGGCCATCACGAGATGCACAACACTTGCGTATTGGCATAGCCGACTATGAGCACTTATCGTGCTGATGGACAAGCTCGAAATGCCACATTATCTTCGAGGCCCCCCAGCGCAATCCGGAATAAGTTCAAAACTGCCCGTGGATGTTTCGCTCCAGTTTGAAGTCGTATCCTGATTCCTGGCTGATGACTTAGACTGTTACAGCCGCTTGAGTTCATTGTCTCGCACCAACTAACAATCTTACTGGCTCATTAGACAATCAAAAGCGTGAGACTCTTGAGGCATCTTTCATTTTGTTCCTGTAGATGGGATGGTGGAAATATCTAAGGATGCGGACTCTGAAAGCATGCGTCCGTAGTGCACAAAGTGACACTTATTCATTGCCTGCTAGCTGACGTGATGATGTGGTGCTTCTTGTTCTGCCGAGGGGCAAGAGGAGGTAATACCTCGAACTTAACACAAGGAGGTCCCTCCGAGGAGGTCGCTTGATGTCGTACTAGAATCGAATATTTGTTTCTTCCGCTAGAGCTTTCAACAAGGCCCCATATGTAAATCATATGGGCCTCATCGACAACAACAAGGCCAAGTCTTTCTTGGAACGCTGGGCTAAAATAAACCGAATCCCAAAGCTTGCTATTGAGAAATATCTCGGGACTGAGGTACACAAAATTGTACACACCGGACTTGATTTGCTCGGCAACAAATGGGTTGAATGTGAGCTTTGTTAAGTTTATAGCAGTAAATTTTCCCTTCTTCTCTTCAACTTGATTATCACCCAATGCATCAAGTGGGTTTAGAACCAGCACCACAGGCTTTGATTTGGGTGGCAAGGTCTTGAAATACATCTCGGCGATCCTCGACTTTCCAAATCCAGTGCCTGCTAGAAGAAAAGCACTCTTCCCTCGCGCTAGAGTTGCAACCGTCTCAACTTGAATTGGCTTTGGATCTTGGCCGTTATAGTCGTTCTTTGCTCGAGTAGCAATCTCGGTCTTCAGTGCATCGTCTTTTTTTTCGAGCAGTTTCTTCAGTGGCGTGATTCCTGTGGTTGCTTTCTGGGGGCTAAGGCTAGCTTTTGGTTGACCTTTCTTTGGCCGTATCATCTTCGTGTTTGGTTTTGTTATGTCAAGGTAGGTCTTATCTTAAGCTCTCTTCAAATTTCTCTTGTACTCTGCATTACGACCTATGACGACCCTCATTCTTCTTTTGAGCGCTGTGAGAACTAAATGCCAGCCAATTCAAGCGACTTTCTATTGCAAACCGGATACTATGTATTTGCGTTGAATCCGACAGAAACCCGTGAGAGGGTCCAAGATCTGATGATTTCGGATCAGAAATAAGATTTTTTTTTACTTTGCAAAAGTTCCGATCATTGCTGGCTAAAAACACAGGAGGAAAAGTGGTTTGTGGAAGATAATTTACAAAATTTGACGAGCTGAGAGCTGAGAAGGAAGTTCACATTTTGTTCTACTCAGAATCGTGTTAAGATGAATGATGTATTTTTAATTAATTTTCAAAGTCAAAAAAATGCATTTTTTCATGTAAATCTCATTTACGTAGTGACACTAGAGGCACTTTGGAGGTAAGCCTCTCCTTCGGAGAGCATCCCTTCGGGATGCGGGGTCCCTTCGGGACCCGATTGAGAGGCTTATGTTAAGCTCGGTAATACCTTCTGGGCCAGTACAGTTCACATCAACTCGGAAGGGCACCGACGTCATAAGCTGCAGGCGCATCTGGGTGTTTAGCAAACATCTTGAAAACTTGTTGTCAAAAGGCAAATACACTAGCTTTCTTGACAATGGAAAATTTTCGTATGTGCTCCATTTTCAAAAAGGCTATGTATTAACTGGGGTAGCTAAACAAAATACTACGGTGTAAATGCGTCCATTGGAAAGGAGACGCGTCACAAGACAATTACCAGCCACGGAAAAGGCTCTGGCCAGTTGGAATGGTGGCCCATTCTTGGGATGACATTCTACCAGAATGCATTCAAAAGTCATCACCCAATACTTTTGGGATCCCTGCTGTGGCTCATTTTGCTGCAATTCTTCTTGTGACGCGCATGCTTTCAAAGAGAACTATTCACTTTCTAATCTTGCAATTTGGAAAAGTCTTTGCGTCAAACAGATTTGACAGCTCAAGAAGAGCTGAGCTCCACCAAATCGTGGTGGCTATATAAAGAGTTTGGATTTTTCCGGTGCAGTACTTCCTCCTCATCATCCTCACACTCGGCATCACAGTCTCATCTAAACTTACATCGCTTCACAAGACCCTCTCACACCCCCCACCCCTTCAACGACAAACCCGCCCACTCACCAACACAATGACTACCAATCCTACTCCTAGCGACTCAGAATCTTCTGCTAACCAATCCGGAGCAAGCCCCGGCGGCGTTCCGCTTGTTGAAGAATCCGTTGAGCCTCGGGCCTCCTCCACTCCGGAACCCCAAGTCAATCCGGAGCAGAATGAAGCACCCGCTTCCCCGCAAACTGCCCACGCTGATCACGCTTTTGGGGAGGACTGGATACAACTGCCTGATGAATTCAATTCTGGCATTATGGCCCTCCTTGGACAACTTCAAGGTCCCCTTGCGCTTGAACTAGACGAGGCTGGTGGCCCCAGATTGCCCCAAGGGCAAGACGAACCTGCATTTGCTCAGAATGCCCTAGAACTCGTCCGTCTTCTTCAGGCAATGCCCCAAGCTGCGCCAGCTCAACCGGCCCAAATCGACGAAACCGCCTGGGTAGAAATGCTGCAAACTCTTACTCCTGAACAACGACTCATCGTCGAAGGTTTTGAGAATAGGACAATTACAGTTCGACGAGAGCTTGTCAACAGCCCTGCCCAGGACAATAATCGTATGGTAGCCCTCCGCGAATTCTTGGATCACCTTGAAGAGCTTCGCAGAATTCTGGCCAATTTACCCCGCGAAACTGCCAGAATGATTGAGCGATTCTATGCTGAGGCGCATCGGGAGATCGATCGGCTGATGGACAACCCTGACCATATTGCCGCGGCGCGACAAAACATTGATCCCCTGCTTGATAGCCTGATCAACACTAACCTGACGTCTCTCTCCTCAGATGTTCCTCAGCACGACTCCACCAAGTGCACAGTCTGCTTGGAGGAGTATGCTGAAAGCGATGTAATTGTGGTACTACCATGCCACCCAACCCACCACTTTGACCGACGCTGCATTCACGTGAGTCCTTTTCTTTTGCTTCAACTCTTGTGCTTCACATCTGACTTCATTTTACGTCCTGTAGGACTGGCTGCAAACTTTGGTCCCCGGACCTCCTACCTGTCCTAACTGCAGAGCCCCAATCGTCTTCCAACATGATCCTGCCCCTCCCCCTCAGTGAGTTCCCGGCGGCCAGACTTCACCAATAGTGTAGATCATGATCAAATTTAATCACTTTTTGCATGTAATGAGTTGGCATTTCCTGAAATACAATTAGCATTACTACCATTCTTGACTTGTTCACCTTGAGATGATCAATGCTCTATCTACCTTGTCCCACATGCGGAACTTGAACCAAATCTGCCAGCCTTTGTGAGACTCCCACCTTGAATTAAGACATCTACCCATTCAGCTACTGTATTTTTCAAAAAGCCCTCAATATATCTTGAGGGGATGTCAAGTTGTTCGTCCCTCTTGAGAGCCATTTGAACAACTTTGCCCCAGAATATACTGCAGCCTTCCCAGGTATATGACTTCATGGTGACATGGGCGCCCCTTCCAATCAACTTGCCCCAACTTCCTCCCAGTCACCCACGCCGTATTTTTCAATCCGCTTCGCCAGGGACACCAAATCAAATAACAATAAGTAAAACAAACACTCACAAATATGAAGGAATGGAAAAACAACATGGAACAGTTGGACGGTAGTGTGATCGCGCACTAGCGTCAAGTCAACCTTTCTTCGCGACCCCAGTACGCAATAAGCCGCGCGCGATTTCGTCCCCATAAAAACCCTTCGGTTATACTGCCAGTTAAACATCAAACCCCGGGTGGCCCCCAAACCGTCTTGGGGCCACAGGAAAATAGGTCCTACGCGGCCCAGTGAGAGCCCATATGTCACACAGACCCTGGCGGCGGGCATGGCTTTGTCCGGGGTGGGAGGAGGGCCTTTTTAGCTTTATTCAACTGCTAGGATGCCGCTCGGTTGGGACTTGAGAGCGTCGAACTTGTCCGGCATTTGAACCCGAGTCTGCCGCGTGACATCAACAAAACATCTTGCGTAAATACGGTTCAAGGAAATTTAGCTGCGGAGGTGCCGATGTAAGGGGTTATATGTATGTATGTAGCTCTAGAAGCGGGCCGACGGCTGGAGAAGCCGTAATGAGCTACAACTTGACTCACCAACCGGCAGCTGAGCTGAGTCTCTCCCTTGATGGCTTTGATAGGTAGGGCTTCTATTGACCGATAATGAATTTCAGGTCAGGCCGCCGAACGGGGAGGGATGAACAGATTGTGTTCCATTCGGATGGTGACTCCATCATGTTATGTTCGGAAGCGGACCGATATCCCAAGTTGCTGGCTCACTAGGCCCAGCCCGGTCATTCTGATTGATTGGGCAGCGGACCGGCACGGAAGCGCGTCTCGGGCACCTCACAATAGCCGACATTCTAACCCAGACTGGCACGCCGCTCAGACATCGTCTCCGACCCGCTGATGGAGCCAGACGGCCCAGATGAGAATCAACGCTTTGGCCGCTCAACTCCTCCCCGCCATGCCCTATAAGAGGACGCCCGTTTCCCCCCTCGTCCTTTCCCCCTCATCCCACTCCTTTCCACTCCACCGCACCCCTACTGCTATCCCAAAACATTCCTAAAATACCCCACACCAATCCGCCCAAAAAAAAGACTAAAAGACTCCTCCAAACCACCGCGCTTACTAACCTTTCCATATACCTATCTCTTGTTATTTTCTTTGATCGAAAGATTTTATCCACCTTTTGTTCTTGTTTTATTATAGAATGTCTTCAGTAGGAGTATACACAATGGATGATTTCTCATTATACCTGATGCCGAAGCGGGCAGCCCCCGAGTGTCGTCCCCCACCCTGCCAATCAGACGTTCTTCGCTCGGTCTTTGAAGAAGACAATGATGCTGAAGATGATGCTGAGAGAGAGTTGTCCCTGCACTCGAGAGTCAACCGAGTGTTCCAAATGATCTCCGGCGTTCGCAACAAACTTCCTAAAACTCCTTCTTCTTCTTCTAAGTTCCTTTCTCATGCTAGGTTGCGCTCTTTCACTTTATCTCGTCGAAACTCAAAAACCTCTGCTCTCAGTTCTCGCTCTAGTACTTCAGTTTGAACAGTCTGTCTTCAGCTATTTGTTTTCTTTTTTTATAAAGTAAAAGTTCATAATTCTGGTTTCTTTTCTTTTTTTCTCTCTTGGGTTGTCTTCTTTCCAGTCCTTGTCAAGACTCTATTATCTGTTTCTTTTTTTCGAATTTCCTTTTTTTCATATACTCTGTTTCTTTTTTTGGTGTTCCTTCTTCATCAGTACTATAGTTCTTGGAGATTTCCCAAGGTTTTTTTTACTGCTTTATGTATTGTGAAATAGGATTTGCTTGTTGCAAATTTACACATGAGCAGGTAAGTTCAGTGTCTGTGATCATTAGGAAGGATGTCCCCCACCTTTGCCCCCCCCCCCCCCCAAAAAAAAAAACACTCTACATCTAGACTATGAGTGCCAGCAGATTGGTTCACCTCACCAACAAGCACCCCCTCTGGTTGCATGTTAATAAGCACTGATATCTGAAGACCAAGTGCTCTAGTCTACCTCTGTCCGGGGCGGGAGCAAGTGCATCTCCGCGTCAAGCTACACCTATTCCTCTGTTTCAAGGTTTCTTACTGCCAACGAAGAGCTGCTGGATCTTCCCCCCCTCCCGTGCCAAGTAAGGACACAATTATAAGTCAAACAAGATTTATGTTTTTTTTTTTTTGGCCGGCAGAAATTCGAAGCTGTCCCTCTTGTCAATGAACAACCTTCGCCGGGTGCAAGCAGACATTCTGCAGTGTTTATGGCGACACGCTGTTGTTTGCAATTGCGATTGTGAAAGGAACATGGATTTTGCAACAATATGACTGCTTGTTGTGAGAGAATGGGTGCTCTATGTGTCCACAACCTTCATTAAGTACACTCATGAGGATGTTTCTTCTTCGATAACCAAGGACCTCCTATGGCTCAAGCATCAACGGAATACCTACTGCTAATCTTAATCCACGTCTTGGACACTCTCACAGACAGTCGAAAATTGCTTCACAGGATGCACATTTTTAGTGTGTTCGACAGAGGGCTCATACATTAAACCATTTTTCTTGATCATCATTCATCATCAGTCAATTATGATACAGGGACAATAAACAAACACATATACACATCTTTATTTCTTCAACATGAATATATATTGAGAGCTTTATTTTTGTATAAATGAGGATGTGATTAAGGATACAAAAAAAGAAAAAAAACACTGGTTTGATGTATTTTTCAAAACAAACAAACAAAAAGTTCTAAAACCCCTGAAACCATCTGCCTACCCTGAATACACAACTTTAGAGCCCTGAAAGAAACAACCACAACACCAAAGAGAACAAAGAAAACTTCCAAAAGAAGAGGGAGAGTTATGTTTTTAAACTAGCAGAAATCTAATGATTCATGAATTGGACAATAGAGCATTCTTATAATAGAGAGGGCGATTAAAGATTAATAAGATTCGAACAAAACACCCAATAGTATAAACAAACGAGATCTTGATTGACGAGGAACTGATGATAACTGTGTCCATGGAACCCATCGAGAAGATCCAAAGATAAAGCAGAAGAAGAAGAGGAAGGGAAGTTGTCGACGTCGGTATGAAGCGGAAGATGATTGAGAGTGAGTAAACTAGGATCGATTTCTTGGGAGTTATTATTATGATTATTAGAATTATTTGAATGTAAATTCGATTGAAGTTGGTTGTGATGATGATGAGTAGCAGTCATAGGAGTACTAGTAGAAGAGGAAGGAGGAGGAGGAATGATTGGGTTAGAAGAAGAGGGGTTAGGGTGGACGATGATATCTTTTTCGATTGCAGAAGGATGTTGGAACGACTGCAATCGGAACCCTAGCGAGTCAAGCGAGGTAGCGGTTGCAGGAGCAGTGGAGGAAGCCGAAGAAGAAGGTCTGGGGTGATCGATTGGGAAAGAAGTTTGCTCGCGCATGGAAGTCGAGGAAGTAGTCATCGAGGACGGAGGAGGGATCGCAGAAGAAGGGCCGGTAGATTGGAGTTTTCCAGGGCCGGGATAAGCGGAGGAGAAGGGATGATTATGAGGGTGGAGAGGCTGACCGATAGGGGTAGAAGATTCTTGCGGGTGATTCTGAATGGGGTCGACAGGATGTTCGGCCGGCGAAGGAAAGAGGCTCGAGGAATCCAGAAAGCTTTCCGAGAGCCGCTCGAACCGAGCACATGTTTCAAATCCTAAGCCAGTGGACGCTTGAACGGCCAAGAAGTCCTTCGACATCTGCGAGAGAGACGGGAACTTGGAGACGTTGGTCTTCCAATACTCTAGTGGAACACTCGTCGATTCCTCGCATTCTACTTCCAAGTAATTCGTGATCTCATCCTTCAAGCCGATCATTAACTTTGGCTTCTTCTTGAAGATCCGTGGTTTGCCTGATGAGTAATCTGAGTCTGAGTCTGTCTCTGACGGATGATGATGATGATGAGCATGATGCGCATGATGATGATCTTCAGGAAAAGCTCGGGGACGTTTATTCACAAGATGATGTTGAAGATTTCCTGAAGAGTGATCGGCCGATGGGGGATCAACAATCATATCATGACTATCACCTTGTGTATTGTGCCGGAAGATCGGATAGAGGCTATACGGTCTGCTAGATTCATAGAACGCTTTTTGGATTTCTTGTATTTGTCTGCCTGGGTTGGCCGAGTTGTTGTTGTCTTCAAAGTTACTCATCTTGATCCTTGGATCTAAGATCATTGGGAAGATATGGACTGCCTTTTTCTGAGTGGTTTCTTGATAGGAGCTCAATCTATCTAGCATTTCTCTGATTGGTCCCAGTAATTCTCTTCCTTCATAATTCCTTCTCACCTAAAAAAGAATAGAAAATCACACTCAAGATGTAAGCAAGAGAGAAGTTAGAGCAAGAAGAGGGTTGGATCACCCTACCTTATTCAATCTACGAAGCAGCCAACAGAAGGTAGGAGTAGCGGTGATCATATCGCAAGGCTTGTCGGATGAGATTTCATTAGCGGCAGTATTCATTGGCTTCAAGAAGTCACAGACTTGACGGACGATCTCCCACTCCGGGTCGAGGATAATGAACTGAGCGAAGCCAGCTTCCTTAAGACAGAAGATCTGGATGGCCTCCTTGACTTGATAGGCGCGAGTGAGGACCTGATAGGTGGCGCACCATCGAGAGTTAGTCTGAGTGATGATCAGACCAGCCTGTGGATCGTTGGTGACGGCACCGACGATCCGGTTGAATGACTCGGACTTTTGGGTTGATTGACGTAGGAGAAGGGTCAGGTTTTGGAGCCGACTGATGATCGTGTTGAGTTGGACGGTCTGAGGGGTCGTTGGGTTGGCCAGTTCGGCCCGATTCTCCGAGCTTGTTGACGGATAAGGAGTAAGATCATCGTCCGAGTTGGGCGGGAAGAGGTCTCGGAGGACTAGCTCGGCTGATCGGTTGATGAGAGATCCCATACATCCTATCAGTTGACTCTCGGGTTTGAAGCCAGGGATCAGACTGGCGAGCACTTGGCCAAACTCGATCAGATCGGGCACGTGATCGATCGTCAATGAGAAGATCCGTGCCTGTAGATCGTAATCGGTCAGGATTCCGAGGATGGCTTGAGCGATATTTCGAGAGGAGGGATGCCGGTTGAGTTGGGCAAGACCGAGTGGGACGCTCTTGAGGGTTGCTTGATCGGAGACCCAGTGGACGACAAGTGCGATGAGGGAATGGTTGCGATTGGCGGGGGTGGATCGGGGAACAGCTGAAGCTGAGTTTGGGGTGAGTTGATTCTAGCGAGTCGATCTTTGAGTGACTGCTTGGCGATCTTGAATTTGAGATGGATGAATTGTGTGAGAGTCTGTGGTTTGAAGAGCAAGGATCGAGTGATGAGAGGGTTACAGAGGTGCAAGAGTTCGATGAACTGTTGGTCGTCGACCGTCTGTGGCGGTAGGTTAGATCGGATGAAGAACTTTGCGATACCGGTCATCAAGGTATCCCTGTTGAGCCTCCTCTTGGATGAGCCTGTGCCACCGTTGGAGATCCCACTGGGTGGTCCGAGTGAGACGGTGATTGGGCTGAGTGGGGGTGGATCTGATTTGGATAGACGATGTTTCCGTTCGAGATGGTTTCCCATACTCTTCGTTCCACCCGATTTATCTGGAATCATCCTCTTGAGACACAGTTCGTTCGAACCGGGTGCGATGGGTGCATGACATACGTTGTAGCGTACTCCAGCGATCTCGGTGGGTTTGAAGTAAGCCCACACCCAGCTGAGTGGTTTCGTTCTCTCTGAATGTTGGTGTGGTTGTTGCTGTTGCTGCTGCTGTTGCTGTTGTTGCTGGTTTGTTTCGTTCATCGTTACGGTTAAACGTGCTTGTGGTGTCGTTTGGTTGGTTTTTGGTTGAGTGGGTTGATGGTTTTGAGGCTAATGAGTTGGTAGTTGGTGGTGGTCGACGGTCAACAAGCACAAGCTGTTCTCTCAAACACCTGATGAGGCAGCCAATTATGGGTTTATGGAGAGGAGCGATAAATGCATACATATATGTACATAGATGTAGGAAACCAGTCAGAAACCCAGATTTTATGCATTTAAAAGGCTTTTTTCATCCACCCCAATTACGTCATACCCGAGGACCGGCCCGTGCAGGACCCGATGCACAGCCTGCCGACCCGACCCGGGACAAAAGCCGAGCCAACTGAATTCGGACTCCCGGGGGGATGCGTGTATTCTTCGATCGGTAATGAACCGGTTCTCTCTCATAATAGTCATCAACAGCAACAAACACACAGTCTGAGGGTCCGACTCCGCCGACTTCAGCTTCCGATCCGGCTTCAGCTCCAAGCCAGATCTCACCCATCCCGTTTCCCGAGACACTGCAATCCCAAAACTCGGTAGGAATGGTCGAACGTCCAAGCGATGAACCGTCTGAACCTGATAAAAACCCAATGGAGCAACCACCAGAGCTCATAACCCAAGCAGGTATCTCGAATCCCTAATTTCATACACGCATACAAAAAAATGATCAATGATTGGCTGACTTAAAACCTCGATTCAAGATTTGGTGATCCAGGAATTCAAACGATTGGCCGACGAGTACGATTTCGCCTCACCAGCTGATACTCCTGTGGATATCTCTATTGAAGGATTGAGGTCCAAGAAAGATCTCTTAACTCGTTTGGACTCAAGCCTTCTACCTCAACTCCAACATCAATGCGCCAGTCTTTCTGGATTGTTGCGCGAGCCAAACCATTTGCAGAACAACCCAGCCTCAACGCTCAAGCTCATCTCAGAGATGCAGGCCAATATTCATCTGACTTTGCGCCAAATGACCCAGACGCTCAATGAAATTTTTCCTGGAAAAATCCCCGACCCTTATCAGACAAATGACCAGCGCTTCAACGAATTGAAGATCTATAGACTCCACAGTTTTGAAAATTCTCTCAGAAACACCATCAACTCTCGGCTCGGATTCCTATTTCTAGATTCAATCAGGATTATTGAAAATTTCAAGCTCTCAACAGCTTGGAGAAGTAATTCAGTCGAGCTTGCATATTTGCTTTTAGACGAGAAGATAGAACTAGCCATCAATTATCTGAAAGGATCCGAACTACAGCTGATATGGGACCTTTGGAGTCGTGGGATCGGAAAGGTGAACAATGGATTGAAAGCACTATTATGGGTGACGAATCCGAACGAAAGTGACTTGAGTCAACCAGCTATCAAACTCGGCCGATCAATCCTCCCAATCTTCAAACTATCCAGACTGTTTTTCAAGAAATTGTATCAACAGAATATCCAGAAGAAAGACGTAGGATTATTCACAGATATGTGCTCTAATCAATTGGTTTCTTTACACGTATCAATCGACGACATCCAAGAATCGATTTCGAATATGTGTATGTCTATAACTGATGCTGATCAACCTATCCCTGGCAATACTGGTCCGGCCATCTTCCAAGAAATCAATAAACTCATCGACTTATTCCAATCTCATCTCTCGTTTATCTACCTCTATGTTCTTCCTAATGTGTTCCCAAACCCCATCGATTTCTCTCATCAAATTTACTTCCAAAATTGGTTTCTTATGTGGACTACTTCGTTTCATCTAGCCACTCATAATGCTATCCAAGCTACTCGATCATTTTCAGATCGTATTTGAGAGCTTTAATCATCATATCATACACCAAGTTGTTGTTGTTGTTGTGAACTATCAAAATTTCTTTGGATTGATTAATATTTCTCGTTTTCTTCCAAATGGATACATAGAGCACTGTCTCAAGTGTGGTGTTTTCATGAACAGTGAAGAGTAGGTTGGACCCCTCAATTTACTGAAAGAATTAATGAGAAGTCTTAGAATGCCATTTGATAAAGAGCTACATAACAATATGCACTACTTGTTGAATAGTTATGATGAATAAATGTGGTGCTAAGAATGAAGTTCAAACTACATAAAAAAGGGAGTATCAGAATCATCACCAAAAGATATTGAGCAGCCATGTAGTTCTAACTTCTACATGCATTAGGTTTTTGATCCTTTTGATTGTTATTAGTAAAAATCCCAAAATACCTGTAAGTTGATCAGTTAGGGCAGTTCACCTTGGGAACTTGAAGATCAGTTTGCTGAGGCAGATGATAAAATTTACAGAAAATCCTTGCTGATCAATGTTGAGGGGATTCTGGTGTCTCTGATCATGAATGCAAAATTTGATACAGATTTTAATGTCTGCATGATCAGCAAATTGATACTCAAGTTGCCAATGTGAACTGCCCTATTAAATTGTTGGAGAAGCTAGTCCAA